GGTTGGTGCAGCCCGACACAGCTCTAGCGGCTCATCTGAGGTTTTTGTGTCTTGTTTCAGTGAAAACAAAACTATTCAAGATTATGTTAATGAGCAAGACAACTTGCGACGTCAGCTCCAGATGTTGCAGTAAGTATTGCTGGAATGCCGAGAATATTTACGCCTCCCCCGCCCCCTCCTCCGTCTCCTGCCTCTTTTATACTTTTCAGTGAGAACAAAACCGTGGAAGATTATGTAAATGAACAGGACAACCTACGTCGTCAACTGCAGATGTTACAGTGAGTATCGGAGAAACGAGAGCAAAGAAAGAAGGTGGAGACATTCCTCAGCTAAATTCTTTTTCCATCCTATAATTTTGAGGCAGCGTGGTGGAATCAGGCCCTCGTCAATTTTTGGGCATATTGAGTTATTGGTATCATCTTAAAGCTTGTTCATTTGTCTTGCTTTCTATTAAAAAATTACTCATCCATCTTTAATAGCAGTAGAGATATTTTGGATTGAAGGAAATGGGGGTCACCTGATTTAAGAGGTAAAATTAGCGAGAAAATGGCTGCCAAAATTTGGTAAATTCCAAAGATGGAGAGTCCATGGAAACTAAATTTTTTTAATTTGTTGTGCCTTTAATCAACGTTTTCGGTGTAATCCTCAAAGGAATGTGTTTGTAATTGGACATCGAAGGTGTTGAACCAAAAAATAAAAATTTGATAAAAATTGCTAAGCAGGGAGAAAACTGCTGTTTTCTTCGATTTAATTATTTTGACGAGAGCCTGATTCCACCACACTGCCTCACAATTTCTCCTTGACTTTCCTTTCCGCTGCCTAACCAATGTTTTGCGATCGCAAACTTATTATTTTTCAAGTGACTCGAAGAAGTCTTATATTTAGATGTTTACTGTGGTAAGGATCACATGAAAATGTGTATATTTTTCTGTCAATAACTAGGGCAGCCTCAATAGCTCAATGTGTGTGTGTGTTGGTGAGGCTTATGTTGGTATTGATTTAAGACTAGCTTAGGCTTCAAACGAATGCATTCGTCATAATATCGAGTAGGAGGTTCGGATGTTTTAATATAAATGGATTTTTTTTTCAAGATCAGATATAGATCCTGTATCTTTCTTTAGCAACATTTTATTGGGGCTTCTCTGTGGTTTCTATTGATTTACCAAGGCTACATCTTGTAGAAACATAGAAATGCTGATGAAATGAAAATCTTAGAGTACAAAATATGAGGCCAGCCATTGTATGAATTTCTCTGGTATGCCAATAATATGACTCACAAAATAGGCCTACATAATATTATTTGGAAGAACAAACTGGACAAAGGGCAAGAGGAACACTTGATGTCCCTGAAGAAAAGACTCGAAGAAATCCACACGGAGAACCGCATGCTCAAGTCGGAGCTGACAGACGCACAGACCAGCCTGGCGCTGGTCAAAAGTCAGATGACCTCTGTGAAACAACAGCTGGACGAGAAGACGTACGAGCTGGAAGTGTGAGTAGCTTGTTCTTTAATTGTTGAAATATCCTGAAAGGTCAGCAAAAGGGTCTGTGATTCACAAATATATAGACTACCTTTTAAAAAATGATGTCCGCGCAAAATACATTTCATTGCCATCGTTTGATTTAAGTTACAATGTATCCCCAATTGGTCATCAATAAGGTCTGTGATTTTTTAAATGTATAGGCTACCCTCAAAAGTGATGTCATGCAAATTGAATTCCATCATCTTCATTAAAGTTTAATCTTATTGGCATCGTTAAATCTCATGGTTGACGTTTCCTGAAAGGTCAGCAATAGGGTCTGCGATTGTTAAATGTATAGGCTACCCTAAAAAATGATGTCATACAAGGTGAATTTTAAGGTCATCATTAAATTCATCGTCGATTTACCCTGAAAGGTCTGCAATAGGGTTTATGATCGTTAAGTGCATATGGTACCCTCATAGATTTATGTCTTTCAAGTTACAACATACATTGGTCACTTTTAAGGACAAGCGGGCTAACCCAGATTTCGGGGTTTTCCCAAAAATCTTGATCTACACCAAAAGTGGGCATTGCTCTACCTATAAGAGAAATCTGGTTTTATTGATGTGTATATTTGTTTGGTAATAGAAAAAAAAAACTCTCCTTGTCTTTTAAAGAAACAGAACAAGGGGCAAAAACTTTACCTTCGATTTTCTCAAAACAGCATTTTTCGGGATAGCCCCTTTGTGCTGAAAAAAAAGCGACCAATGACCAAGAGTTCAACAACAAATTCCATCAAGGGTTCCCACCATCCAAAAACACTCACAGCAGGATTTGTTGATGGTGGGGCGTGGGGGGGGGGGGGGGG